TTAATAAACTTTCCACATTTCACGATTGGAACATTTGAAATGCGATGCCAGCCTGCGCCACTTTGAATTTTTTTCCAAATTTTTTCATACGAATTTGAGTGTTTTCTTCATGGGATTTCATTTAGGGGGCGCAGACTGCGGTTCGCATTTCAAATGTACCAATCGTGAAATGTGGAAAGTTTATTAAGGTTTTGAAGAAAAAATTTTTGCATTTTGACAGAAAGTATCGCCCAAAATGTAATATTTTTGGAATAATTCAGTTTGGTTCCAAAAGGGCAATTCTTAAAAAGATTATTTTTGAGGTCTGTTTCATGCACATAATACACTGAACAGGATTCTTATTTGATTAAAAGGTGTTAAGAATATTGACCAGACAAAAGTTAAGACGAATTGTGGGATATAGGGTTGGTAAAAAAATAGATAGCACTATCGATACTATCGATGGTTGTAATATTTAGGAAACATCGATGGTTTGAACCCACAATCGATACCATCGCTCCAAAAAAATAATTGAATTTTACAAGCAACTTTTGGTATATTTTAAAGAAAAAAAGTATTTTAAAGTATATACTAAAGAACACGACCGTATTTTAATTGTTAAGGCTCAACATCGAATTTGGTTTCACTTTAATCGGTGTAAAAGTTAGACCGTTTCCTTCCCCCTAATTTTTATAAGTCAACAACGCATTTTCCATAATTTGTTTTTCATAATTCTCCTCTATTTTAACAATTTGTTTATTATACCCTTGTAGAGGGTATTATAATTTCAGTCAGATGTTTGCAACGCAGTGAAGGAGACGTTTCCGACCACATAAAGTATATATATTCTTGATCAGCACCAATAGCCGAGTCTATCTAGCCATGTTTGTCTGTCCGTTTCTATGCGAACTAGTCTCTCAGTTTTAAAGCTATCGCGATGAAACTTTCCCGAAAGTCTTCTTTCTATTGTAGTACATATGTTAGAGCGAGCCGGATCGGACCACTAAAGGTTTCCATAGGAATATTCTTACAAATATAAGAAAATTCATTGTAACTTTGTAGGAAGTAGGCGTTTTGATTCTTGACTACTTAAAAACAAAATCTAAATAAAAACGCAGAATTTGGAATCCCTGGAACTGCACCGAGTGAGCATTACTTTATCTGCAAGGGTATATAAGCTTCGGCTGGCCGAAGGTAGCTTCCTTTCTTGTTTTTTTTTAATTGTTGATACTATCGATAGTATCGATAGTGACCACCATGGATTGCCAAAAACATCGATGGTGTCCACTATCGATTTTTTTAACAACCCTAGTGGGATATGACTTCGAAAAACTACTTTTTTTAAGGTGTAGAGAGACATATTCAATATTTATGTATGGGTTGAAGATTGAAAGGACCTTTGGGCTGGATTACTCTCAAAATGGAACCTTTTATTTTATATTTAACCAGAAAAATAATTTCGGTTAACTTTGATTATTGGAACCAGAAAAAATCGATGGTGTCGTATAAATATGAAACGATCGCACATAGCCAAAAAATAGACTATATTTCGAAAAAGTAGCGGTAAGTCCTTAAAAAGAGGACCAAGGACGCGTGGTATTTTTTTCGTACACATCATACATTGTTCTTTCGATCTGCAGTTAAATGTTTCGCTTTCTATAAACAACAACAACGCTACAAATTTTCAAAAACTAAGTGTGTTGGTGTCGTATAATTTTGAAACACACCTTAGTACCCTAACCTCTAAGACTTTAGGTACGTAAGTGCATCTTTAAGTGCGTTTTTCTCGAAACCACGTTTTGAAAGTCCGTGTTCATCCTCATTTCTAAACTGCTCAACCGATCGTTTTTAAATTTGTCGCATATTTTTCTGCATAAAAAAAACCCGCCCCCTATGAAGCGTTTTTTTTATTTTTTAACTTTAAACATTTTATTTTTAAGCCGAAAGTCAAATTTTTTAGGTGAAAAACGCATTTTTAACTTTGGACTATATAAAAAAAAATTCTTAAAAATAAAAAAATGGGCTTCATAGGGGGCGTGTTTTTTTAATTCTTAAGCGAAATGTAAAAACAAAATAATAAAATCCGATCATTTTTAGCGGAGGTACAGTGAACGCAGCAAAACGCCTTTTTTTAATAGTGTTCCAGCAATCGCTTTGCCACCGATATATTAGCCGATAGTATCGGCTATAAAAATTGGTGGATGTTAATTAAATGACACTAAATAATATACGAAAGGTTTGAATTAAATCCATTTAACCAGTTTTTATAGAAAAAATCGCAAAGTTTGTAGATTTTTTGGTGCGTGCCGATCGGACATCTATATCTTATAGCTCCCATAGGAAGAATAGGGATAACATTTTTTTTTTTTCAATTATAAAATATTTTGTTGTTTATTAATTCATGTTGCTATGGTAGTTAAGTTTTCATTCGTAAAATCTGCAAGGGTATTAAAACTTCGGCTTGCCGAAGTTAGTTTTCGTCCTCGTTTTTTATTAAAAGGTATGTTTTATTAGATTTAATTTAAATATGTAAAACGAAACTATAAATTTAATATGCAGATATTCGTTTTTAAGGTGCCACAAAAAATAATAGCACCACTAACCCAAAAAAATTTTAACTAGTTACCCTACTCACATTTTTTAACTTTTTTAACTTTTCAAAACGGGTTTTAAATAGTAAGACTAAACATAATTTGAATATGAAAAAAAATGTTAGCTTTATAAAAGGTTTCTGGACTTATTTAAGAAAATCTATGCAAAACTAAAAAAACGTACGAAAAAAATAATAGCACCACTTCTCTAAAAATAGAATAAAAGGTAGAAAAATGACAAATGAGTAACTTAACAAAAGTCATGATATATTTTCAAATTTTGTTCAGAAATGATTTAAGACGTTTTAGATTAACTGTATAAACTGTCTTTAAAAAAAAACTCGAAGATTTTTGGTTGTGTTATGGTCAAGCGAGTACACAAGTCACTGTATATTGCTGACTGAGTACTTTCGAACTCTTTCTTTGCTATCCTGACCGTGATCCTGGCCGGATTTTATTGGTCAAAGATTCATTTAATAAGTATTTTGTATTCAGTTTAAGCTACGAATTACTACCGTATTACTATTTACATCATAGGATGATTCATGAACGATGTATTCATCCGTATTGATCTTACTTCAAGAAGGAAAAACAAGCCTATGTTAATACTAGGTCCATGCTCAATAAATGGATGTTTTGGTACCATGTTTTTGGTCAATTTAGGTGTTTAGAAGACACATGACTTATAAAAAGGATTTCTTCTTACCCAATTTGACTTTGCCTTCACACATTCTCATAAGTTTGCGGGCAATCATTTGTAAGTTTTTTCGACGAGCCCTATGCCCTTGTAAATGTGTTTCGCATTTCGGATAGGATTTTTTTTTTAAGTGCATGTTTTATAAATTTGTTTATTAAAGCATTATCCAACTATTGAAATATTCGCTATTATTTTAAGCACGTGTTTTAGTTTAGTTTTGGCCCTGATAAGATTCTTTGTGCTTTGTGATATAACATTTTAGAAGGAAAAATGGGCCAGGACTCGCTTTTTCTGTGTTATCCTTTAAAAGTTTATGCCATTTTTAATAAAGATGATCCAAGACCTAACAAATTGAGCCGGTTTTCATGACCGTTTTCCATCCAATATGTTTTTTTTTTAATATTTTTCTTTTCCGACTTGAAAAATTTTTCCACATGTCCTTGTATTGCCAAATGGTAATCAATTTGATGTCTGGATATCAGGAAAAGTTAGTTTTAGTCAAATCTCATAGAATATATCCTTTATACACAAGAATATTAGCGCATCGTAACGTTTTATTTAAAGAAAACGGAAGTGGTGCTATTATTTTTTTCGGCCTTTTTTTGACTTTTTTTCTTAAAATCTGAAAAAATTATATGTAGACAATATTTTCGATATCCGTATCAATTTTTTCAAATAGGTGGAATACTAATCAAGATAATAAAAAACACTTCTTATATAAAAATCCCCGTTTTCCACATATTTTTTTAATATTAAGAACCTGTGACGAAGTGGTGCTATTATTTTTTTCGCAACTGTATATACATAAATTCAATTTTAATAAACATCCTGTTCAATCATAGAAGATCCTTTGACACACAATTAGTTTCTTAGCCGAGAAATGATTTCTGGCCGAAAATCGTCTTGCCAATTAAGTACGTACACATAAGCACTTGCTTACGATCCACTGGGAAAGTGAGAAGGTGGTTCTTTGTGTGTTGAAAAGCCTGTTCCTTTTAGCAGAAAGTGTTGGAAATCCTGTATCTTCTAGCAGGCGACGGTGTAGGGAAAATGTAAATTCCCTTGGAAAACCACATAGAAACGTCATTTACCCCTTACTTTTTGTGTCACCCCCGTGTATTTTGAAACCAGAGACGGAAGAAATGTAAGGGGTAAATGAGGTTTTTTCCATTCCGCTTGTATGGAGAAACCTCATGAAAATATCATATTTTACAGAGGAATGTTCCCGCTGGGTACTCATCTTAGAGATTATATTGGACTTTGGCTGGACACACCCCTGTTTTATCTCTTACCGTTTATTTTTCAAAAATCTTTTTCTAGTTAAGCTCCGAATTTTTAGTTATGTAGCACTTGCGACTCGTTTGAGATCTTTTAATATTTGGTATACAACTTTGTGTGATATCTTAATATCTTTAAAAAAAATATTTTAAAAAATTTTTAAATTTAAAATATGTATTTTTTAAGAGAATTTAAAATTAAAAAAAATCTGCTCGCCGAAATACACGCGGTTTCCGAACAAAAAAAAAATGTCGTATTGCTTCATCAATTCTTCACAAAGTGGTACCCCAAATATTAAAATAACAAAAAAAAGTTTCGATTGATTCTGAGATTTCACCCAAATTGGCCAGTCACGTTTCACGTGGAATGACCCTTTGGCGAACGCGATGGGAGTCCATAGTTCATTGATCTATCGATTGTCGATAGCCCCACCACCCAAAAAGAACAATGCTTACTTTTTATGAGGAGCATTTTCAGTTGTCTCACTCGTTTTTTTCATTTTAATAGTATTAAAGTATGGTATTTTATATGATTTATATCCATATATTTATGCATTCGGTTTTCATTTCAATGTTCTTTAGCTTGTACGGAAAAAGTCAGGGAGTTGAAATCAAGAAGACAGAAAGAAATTGAGGAGTTTGTGAGAGCACGATGGAACCACTTGGATTTCAGTTTACATAAACATAGGAAGCCTTTAAATATTTTATTTTTTCTCAAGCACTTGTTTCTCTATCGATAGAAAACAATTAATATGCCGGATGTACTCCCGGAATCGGTATTGAGTAAACAGTAAATTTAGTGGCATTCTTTTTATACGATGTAGAAAGCGACAATCATCAGAGCCGACATATGTAAAGGAGAGTGAGAGAGGTATACCTACATTAAGGGCCCTTTTCTCGTTCGACTGTTAAATTTAAAGTAGGTTTAAAACTCTGATTTCCTTACTTAACTTACTTTAAATTTAACAAACGGACGAGAAAACGGCCTTAGACCGGCAATGGGAAACTGAATCTAAATATGAACACTTATTTGATGAAGCATGCGCTTTGTATTTCAGCTTTACTCAAATTCAATTTCTCCCTGTTCTCGACATCATTGTATAAAAATTTAACCAATGCGGCTGGTATTTACGAATCTTCCATTTTGGGTTTTTCCTTCCACCATATAAAAATAGAGCATCGTGGATCTCCAAATAGTTTACATATATAAATATATATAGATATATTTATTTATATTGGTTGGTATTTTCCTGTGGCTGCCTTCCTCCGTTTCGTTGGCTGACATCACTCTCCCTTCCTTTGCTGCCCTCCATTCGGCTGTCAACTCTAAATCTTCTCTCACTCACTCTTTTATATAAAACCAGCGTGTGCATTTATGTATATATAAATACACATAAACATTATCGGTTGTGTAAATATTGCTATACAAAAAATGTTTCCAAAAAATGCCTGCGTTGCCTTGCGTTGTTCTTGGTTGATAATCTCTTTTCGGTTTTTGGTTGGTTTTTTTGCATTTACAGTTCTTTTTTGTTGCTTACAATTTAGATTGCCTTTTCAATTTTTTTTTATTTTGTTCAAATTTGAGGACTGAATTCTTAATTATTGGGCGTTTTTTAGTTTTGTGTTTTCCTTTTATTTTTATCGTTTAAACCAAAAAGTTTTAAATATAATAATGCAGAAATTTATATTTTTTGTAGTTGGGTAATTATTTGCGTTTTTTTGACATTTTTTTCAAGCATATGTATTTTTACTCGTTCAATTTCTTCGGCTACACACAAAAAACCGCAAATTTCTTCTTGGCCGTTGGTTTTTCTCCATAAATTTAAATATTAATAATTACTTTTTATGTTAGTTCATTTACGGTTTTCTCTTATCAAATTTGTTGCTGCTGTTGAAGTTGTTGGTGTGTGTTGTTGTGGTTGATGGGGGTGTTTTTGTTGATTTATTCTCCTAGTACCCGCAAGTAATCAAATAATCTCCAAGTTTTTCTACGACGGAAGCGGCCTGTTGGGGTTGAACGGGATCCTCGTAGATAGAAACGATCACGGCTGCAAAAAATAAATATTGGATTAGACAATCAATTGCAGCCAACAGGTTTTATTGGGGAATTCCTATATATAAGACGCGGGACATATATATTAATCAATATCTACAATATTTAATATTTATCTTAACAATAAGAGTAGTTTCGAATTGCATCCCTCCCTATTGGCAATACATACCTACGTACAAGCAAAAAAATACACCCTCCAACTATTATCATGTGCATTTATTTTATTCGCATTTATAAATTCCTAGAGCAGTTAACTTCTTTTCAACTTATATATACGTTTTCTTTGCCATCGTCACATTTTTCATCAGTCTATCCGGTTTAAAATGCTCTCGACAGCGGGGAGAAAGCCGCTGTCAGCAGTGGCAGAAATAAGAACTAACAGTTTTTTTACAAGAGCAGTATCTCCTCGGAAACTAACAATTATGAATAAAAGCTATCAATAAAGAGCGCATCAGTCCGCAGCAATCCGAGGTGAAAACTGGACGCACGACTGACCAGACAACCCAATAGCAAACGAGAGTGGACCAGAATGACAAGTCTCATACATTAATCAAATGAACAGAAAAGTGATGAACAAATTGCTTCTATATTAAGTTGGGACCGCAGGCTCATAGCTCTCTGTTCGGTCGAATAAAGTCGAAGCGTGGACGTAGGCACAGTTCGCTCGGAGGTTAATAAACCGGGTTAGCGGAAGACAAGAGAGTGCTACACTCCCACAATCACCGTTGACCTGGAAGTTGCCAAAATTTTAAGAACTTCATGCCCCCTAATTTGATTTATTTCGGAAAACAATAATCACTCTGTGCAAAACAATAAAATTATTATTATAATACACATAAAATAATAATAATATCGGTAAATAAATCGTTAGGTTGTTGACCAATGTTTTTGACAGATACTTTATTTTGTTAGAAAGATTTATCTTCTATGATTTATTTAAAAATTTGTATATCAAAAACAATGCCAACGCTCTATAATAGGATAGATTACACTAGTTTACAAAATAATATATTCATGCAACGGTCCCCAGCAAATGATGGCAAATTCTGTTAGTGGTGGACCCCTGCATCACGAAAATGCCACCAAATTTTTTTTCGATGGCACAATTTTTATACCCCTGCAGAGGGTATTATAATTTCAGTCAGAAGTCTGTAACGCAGTGAAGAAGGCGTTTCCGAACACATAAAGTATATATATTCTTGATCAGCATCACTAGACGAGTCGATCTAGCCATGTCCGTCTGTCCGTCTGTCTGTTTCTACGCAAACTAGTCTCTCAGTTTTAAAGCTATCGCGATGAAACTTTCCCAAAAGTTTCTTTAATTTATGGTCAATTTTAAGAGGTCGATAAAAAAAGGTCCAGCTCCCATAGTACAGAAAGATAGGGTGAATAGTTAATCGTTGACTCATTGAACCCAAAAAATAGTTTTCCAGGTTTTCAAGCATGATAAAAAAAAACAAGGCCTTTTCGAATTGTGTATACCTTAAAAGTGACTCTTTAGTGACACATTTAAAGTAAACAAGCTTTTGCACGGCGGCAGCATTGTCAAGCTGCGACGCTCCAGCAATTATTGACCGTCAAAAGCTCGACGGTCGGTCAGGTGGTAATTCAAGTATTGCTCAAGGGGCGCGATTGTTGCAATAGCAATACAAAGCACCAACAAGCAACAAGATACCAATAACCCAATACAAGCTTTATCGGAAGGAAAGAGCCGACGAACGAACATTTCTAGCAAAATTTTCTATTTTTACGCTAATGCCCGTGTGGTTTTCTACACACTCACACGCACTGTGCAACATTTACACTTGAAATGGATTATGGCAATAACCTTGAGCTTGTGGATGCAGCGGTGAATAGGGAAGAGGGTGGCGGGCTGCCATGTCTGTGCTAACGTGGAAACGTGTATGCCAGTGCGCAACAGTTGCCGCAAAAACTGTACAAATATGAAAGCGCGTCAGCAAACAAACTGGTCGTAAACGTAAACAGCAAAAACTAAAAATCAAATTTGTCTGCTCATTACGAAAAAGAACTGAAAGAGGTAGCGAAGTTTTAAAAAAAAAATGAAGCCATCGTAAGATGCTGAACAATGAACCATCGCTACTCGTTGACCGCAAAAACGAAACAAAGGCATCGGCACAGATCGTAAAATCATAATGACAATGGGTACCATTTAAGCACTCTCATTTTCTGTGACTTGTTCGTGTTAAATGCCACAAATTAGATACAATTCTTACAAGCTGACAGAGTTTTTAAACAAGTTATTTTTAACACTCAAAGCCAACTAAAAGAGAAAACACTTAATAGAACTTTCTTATTTACTGCGGTCAAACTTATCTGCTATTGGTGCGTTGGGCCTTGGATTAAATTCTTTTTACCAGCGATAAGTCTGCAAAAACGAGTGGCATTAAACATTTTGTTGAAAGTTTTTTCATGTTTGCTTTGGTACGGTTATAAAAAGCAATAGCTGATAATAGTTATCGGGGTGGGGCAGACAACACATCGATAACGGTTGGTAGCGATCCAACTTTGCAGAAATTTCCATGTTTATGAGTAGACTTCGGATTTTATATGATCTTACATTCTTCATTCAAATGCGGCCAACATTTGGATTTAGACACTACATTCGATGACGATTACAATTACATTTGTATGGACACGAAAAACGTTATGAATCGTTTGGGCGGAACAGAATTAATGGACCATTCTAAGACATATTGCTCAATAAACTATTTGCCTAAAACCACGTTTGACCATCTGCATTTGCAAAAGTAGAGAGAACGCTATAGTCGGGTTGGTGTCCCGACCATGGTGGAACTATACAAGGTGGTCTCGTCAGCTCTGCTGAGGACGTTAAATATGTTTACCTCTCTGTCTCTCTTAGGCGATAGAATGAGATAGCTAGATAGAGACTGACACAAATAACGTCCTCAAAAGAGGGCAGCTCTCGCGACGAGATCACCTTGTATAGTTCCACCATGGTCCCAACTATCTAATACCCGTCACTCAGCTAAAGGAAGTGTGAGGGAGATGGATATATAACCTTTTTTTGATTGCGCATAACTTTTTAATGAATGGTCCGATTTGAAAAATGTCTTCTACATTTCGATAGGTATAATTATACACAACAAAATTGCATTTATACTTCTCGGAAATCTTTAAAGGTGTGTGGGCGCCAGACACATTTTAAAATCGTTAGTGGGCGATTGTGGGCGTTAGAGGGGTCGCTCGGCTGAAATAAACTTGCGCTGCGTAGGAAGCCCAAGAATATGTGTGGGAAATCTCAACCTTCTAGCTTTTGTAGTTTTCGAGATCTCAGCGTTTATACGGACAGACAGACGGACAGACAGACATGGCTATATCGACTCGGGTAGTTACCATGAGCAAGAATATACAGGGGTGGTCAAAAGTATTTTCACAAAGGGTCGGAAACGCTTTCTTCTCCCTGTTACATACTTTTGCACGAATACAATATACCCTTTTACTCTACGAGTAACGGGTATAATTACTGCTATTTCACTTTATTTTTGAGAAAAATATCTTAGTAGCCGTTACTAATATACAAAATAACAGCATTGAAAAAAAATGCTTTAAAGTGAACGGTCATCAGGGACCGTAAATAATGATTATTGATCTATTTTTTGAACCATAAAATCAAGCACTTAGGATCGACTTACTCAAAAAAGGAAAACACCATAGCGATCCGCATTGGTTAATCTATCCATTTTCACCATGATTTTTCTTTTTGTGATTTTTATAATATTCTTCAAAAATAATGATTATTATTTTTGATTTATTATATAATTATTTTTATTATATTTATAAAAATCAAAAATAATCATTATGTCTGATCGGAAAAAATAAAACTCAAAAATAATGATTAATGTTGATTTTTATTTTTTCGCTCAGAAATAAAACTCACTTGGACACCACGGCTTTTCTGTGCCGATTTTTGGCTACCACCTACCACCTCTGGGAAAAAAAGTTTGAACTTTGCTTCTGCATCCCGTTAAATTGTAGTGTTATTTTTATCAGTACAGGGGATACTTCCAGCCTTTGCTCATGTTTATTGTCTACAAGAATACAAAGTGGACCAACATTAAACAATGTAGCATAGTTAGTCCGCATAATCTAAAGAAGCATTTTTTTTTTCTTAAGAATTCGCGATTACACTAGTTTACAAAATAAAATCGACCTCACCCTAATCGAAGGCAACCTTAATTTTCCGGTAAAGTACATCTCCCTGATTAAGAAATGGGCACTTATAATTTTTTGTATGGTGTCAATTTTTTTTTAAGTGTAAAAAACGTTTTTGGCCCTTTTTTATTTTTTATCTCGAGTTCTGGTAAACCCACTGAGGTCATCGATGACTCATTTTACAGGTAATATACTGCTCTTTAACTTTCTTATACACAGCATTGAGTTTCAGTCATAAGTTTAGAAGCCACACCTCGTCAAAGTTAAAAAATTTGAAAAAAATGCAAAAGTTTTGGCATAAATGGCTTCGTTAAAAATACACGCAAAAAAACCGAAAATTAGTTTTATAACTTATTCTGGTAGATGGTACTTTGACAAAAAAAACAAGCTAATGATCATTAGAATCCACCAGAAAATGAATTTTATATGAATATTTTAAGTTTGGGACAACCATGATTTTTTGGCCGTTTACAGCTGTTAACTGAGACAACAGGTCTCTGACAGGGCTCTAACAGGGCTGTAATATCCGTTTTGCCCAACTTAAAAAATCGATATAAAATTCATTTTCTGGTGGATTCTAATGATCATTAGCTTGTTTTTTTTGTCAAAGTACCATCTACCAGAATAAGTTATAAAACTAATTTCGGTTTTTTTGCGTGTATTTTTAACGAAGCCATTTATGCCAAAACTTTTGCATTTTTTTCAAATTTTTTAACTTTGACGAGGTGTGGCTTCTAAACTAATGACTGAAACTCAATGCTGTGTATAAAAAAGTTAAAGAGCAGTATATTACCTGTAAAATGAGTCATCGATGACCTCAGTCGGTTTACCAGAACTCAAGATAAAAAATAAAAAAGGGCCAAAAACGTTTTTTACACTTAAAAAAAAATTGACACCATACAAAAAATTATATGTGCCCATTTCTTAATCAGGGAGATGTACTTTACCGGAAAATTAAGGTTGCCTTCGATTAGGGTGAGGTCGATTTTATTTTGTAAACTAGTGTTATTGAAGATTCTATATGACAGTATTGCTATTTGTATAAAAGTAAACATTTAATTCTGAAATGTTACAAAAACGCTATAGTCGAGTAAATCGACTATTAGATACCCGTTACTCAGCTAACGGAAGTGCGAGGAATATGGATATATGCATTTAGACTGCTTGCCAGTACAATATTAGCTCATAAAAATAAAAATTTCTTCTTCATTTTGATAGGTGTTAATAAACAAAATTACTTTTTCCGAAATCTTGAAATATAGGAACCACAATCCTCTTAAATCTTAAGGTGATTGTGGACGTTAGATTGGGCGTGGCACTCTGATGAAACAAACTCGCTGCGTAGGAACCCTAATAATCTGCATGGCTAATCCCAACTTTATACACTGGTGGTAAAATATTAGAATCTTTTTGGTAGGGCTTGCTATTTAGGTACCTTCAATCCCTCAAAACGTCTTTTAAATTACTCCTCTATGGAGTCGTCAACTTTGCCCAAAAAGCAGATACCCCGGAAAATATTGACAACAATTTTGGGGTTATCTGCGATGTTAAAATAAGAGAGAACGCTATAGTATAAAACTTTGATCGGGCATAGCTTTTAAACGAATGGTCCGAGTTAAAAAAATGCTTCTACATTTTGATAGGTATAAATAAACACAAAATTGCTCTAATACTTCTCCGAAATCTTCAAAAATGTGGGCGCCCTTGCCATCAATAATATGTATTAATATGTATTATACACTACTGGTCAAAAGAATAAGTACACACGTTACACCCTCACTTGCTAAGAGATATCTCTATAGTTATTGAGGCCAGACCTCCCAAACCTTTTTATTTGGAAAGGTTATTCTGTTCTGCAATATTAAAATAAACAATGGATACAGTAAAACCTATCTAATCCATGTTAGCCCTACATTTGTGCGATAGGTCGGTTTTGGTGTGGTCAAAATAATAAGTACACTTGTGTTACTTATAAATTTTAAAATATTAAATCTAGAATGGGGCTACGGTTAGTATTTTATCTTAACTTAGGATCATGTTTATAAGAAGTCTGGGCCAATTGGACGATCCAAAAAGTTTCCAAGCCTGGATTTGGTTATTTCAAAGTTATCATCCATGCTAAAATCTGATTTGCAGCTTAAAAGGAACACTTAACACTTAAGTATGGCTTGTGATTCCCTAAAATTTCCTTAAAAATACTACTCTGAATAAATAAAATCAATTTGGAAAAAAAGGAGTACTTACACCGTAAAAAATAAGGAAATGTATGCACAAATGTAGGGCTAACATGGATTAGACAGGTTTTACTGTATCCATTGTTTATTTAAATATTGCAGAACAAAATAACCTTTCCAAATAAAAAGGTTTGGGAGGTCTGGCCTCAATAACTATAGAGATATCTCTTAGCAAGTGAGGGTGTAACGTGTGTACTTATTCTTTTGACCAGTAGTGTATGTATTTATTCGATTTCGAACTCGATCTTTAAACAACATCGACTTTCTCTGTGGTTCTGATTCAGAATATAAACCTTTAGGGGTCGGAGATGTTTTATAATATAATCTTGAAGATGGCTTACCTTGTGTTGTCTTCATGCAGTGCACTCCGCTTCGGCCAAGCTTGGCACGCACCACGCGGTCCGTGCCGGAGAGGTAAATGTACCGCTGGCCGGCGAGTGTTACGCCGTTGCTCGTAAGACCGTCCTGCTGATCGAAGCCGCTGATTAGTTTAGAGAGTTCCTCTTTTGTCACCTGCAAGGTAATTTAAAAACGTTTCGGGTTAATGATCAGAATGTGTGAGTTCAGACGTTTTGTTATTTATTGGGGGTTCTAGCATAAATGCATCAAACTAATTCAAACCGAATTTGGTAGGAAAGTTTTCCGTTACATCTCTATATATACCATTAAGAACTACTCGCCAAATTGCTATTCAATTGATGTAGACATATGTACTACCTGCAATAGAAAAAAGACTTTTGGTAAATTTTCATCGCGATAGCTTTAAAACTGAGGGACTAGTTCGCATAGAAACGGACAGACGGACAGACAGACAGACGGACATGGCTAGATGGACTCGGCTATTGATGCTGATCAAGAATATATATACTTTATGTGGTCGGAAACGTCTCCTTCACTGCGTTGCAAACATCTGATTGAAATTATAATACCCTCTGCAAGGGTATAACATGAGAGAACGCTATAGTCGGGTTGGTGTCCCGACTATCTTATATCCGTCCCTCGGCTAAAGGGAGTGCGAGGGAGATGGATATAGGACTTTTTTTGATTGTGTATAACTTTTTAATGAATGGTCCGATTTCAAAAATTTATTCTACATTATGATAAGTATAAATATATACAACAAAATTTCATGTATACTTCTCGGAAATCTTTAAAGGCGTTAGTGGGCGATTGTGGGCGTGGCGCTCGGCTGAAATAAACTTGCGCTGCGTAGGAAGCCAAAGAATATCCCAACTGTCTAGTTTTTGTAGTTTCCGAGATCTCAGCGTTCATACAGACAGTCAGACGGACATACGGACAGACCGACATGAATATATATCAACTCGGCTAGTGACCCTGATCAAGAATTTATATACTTTATAGGGTCTTAAACGTTTCCTTCTCACCGTTACATACTTTTGCACGAATACAATATACACTTTTACTCTACGAGGAACGGGTATAAAAATGAGAGCCGCGAATTTTCCAATTACTTATAAGTATATAAGTAGGTATAATATACCTGGTATATAAGTGCATTTCGACTGGGCTAGTTATTCTTTTTACTTAGATTTCCTGGTGCTACCTGGATTTTTATATAAGAAGTGCTTTTATTATCTTGATTAGCTTTCGACCTATTAGAAAAAATTGATACGGATATTAAAATTATATAATTTTTTCAGATTTTAAGAAAAAAGCCGAAAAAATAATAGCAACACTTTCGTTTTCTTTAAGGGGCTGTCCATATATTACGTAATCATCTAGGGGGGGGGGGTCCACCAAATGATTACTCTAGTACAAAATTTTTTTTTTTTGTATGAAGAATTGATTACATGGGGGGGGGTCAAAAATCGCCGAATCGTGATTATCGTGATTACGTAATATATGGACAGCCCCTAAGTAAAACGTTACGATTCGCTAAAAATCTTGGGTATGAAGGATATATATAACTCTCCTCATATCCAGACATCAAATTGATAACCATTTGGCAATACAAGGACAAGTGGAACATTTCCAAGTCAAACAAGAGAGAACGCTATAGTCGAGTGCCTTGACTATTAGATACCCGTTACTCAGCTAAACAACTTAATAGAAATGTGCCTTCTTATATGTTTTTCGCCGCTCGATTTTTACCCAGGGATCTCTTTCTAGAAGAGGCTTTCTAGAACTTTCAATTCTGCCTAGCACATCTTCCGTCTCTCTCTAGCGCAGGTGAATGCACTTGTGAAAAACGTATACGAGCAAAAAGAGACAAAATGCGCGCCCCATTTCAAATAATTTAAAATTTGCATTAACATAATGTGAATTAGAGTGACCACAGAAAAAAGGCAGATTTTTTCCAATGCCATTTCCTAGATGGCGCTAGTGTATATTGTATTGCGCCATCTACCGCCAGATATTGGTACTACTGGTCATGAAAGGCGGAAATGTAGGCGCTGGCCAGGTTTAAGCGTTTATTGGGTTTGTGGGCGTTAGAGTGGGCGTGGCAATTTTTTACTTGGCCAATCGATAGGTATTGACGAAGCGAATACATATCAGTTACTATTTTCATAATAGCTTCAAAACTGTGGGCGTTAGAGGGGGCGTGGCACCTTTTTGAAACAAACTTGCGCTGCGTAGGAGCTCCGAGATCTCAGCGTTCATACGGACAGACAGACAGACAGACGGACAGACAGACGGGCATGGCTAGATCGACTCGGCTAGTGATCCTGATCAAGAATATATATACTTTATGGGGTCGGAAACGCTTCCTTCTAGCTGTTACATACTTTTGCACGAATACAATATACCCTTTTACTCTACGAGTAACGGGTATAAAAAGATAAATATTCAAAAAAAAAACATATTGGATGGAAAACGGTCACGAAAACCGGTTCGATTGGTTAGGTTTTGGATCATCTTCATTAAAAATTGCTTAAACTTTGAAGGATAACACAAAAAAACCGAGTCCTGGCCCTTTTTTTCTTCCAAAATGTATCAGGGCCAAAACTAAGCTAAAACACGTGCATAAAATAATGGTGAATATTTTAATAGTTGGATAATGTTTCAATAAACAAATTTATAAAACATGCACTTAAAAAAATCGTAGCTTCGTAGCTTAAACTTAATACAAAATACTTTTTAAATGAATCTTTGACCAATAAAATCCGGCCAGGATCACCGTCAGGATAGCTTGACCATAACACAACAAAAAATCTTCGAGTTTATTTTAAAGACAGTTTATACAGTTAAAAAAAAACGTCTTAAATCATTTCCGCATAAATTTGAAAATATTTCATGACTTTTGGGCCCCAATTCCTTTATAGGTACGGATTAAACAAGTCAATCGATAGTAAGTCATTTTATCCAAAATTCGCAAAAGATATTAAAACTTTGAACTAAGATTTAATTGTTAGCTACCGCCAACTAAAGATTAAGTTACCCATTTTTATACCCGTTACTCGTAGAGTAAAAGGGTATATTGTATTCGTGCAAAAGTATGTAACAGCTAGAAGGAAGCGTTTCCGACCCCATAAAGTATATATATTCTTGATCAGGGTCACTAGCCGAGTCGATCTAGCCATGTCCGTCTGTCCGTCTGTCTGTCTGTATGAGCGCTGAGATCTCGGAAACTACCAAAGCTAGAAGGTTGAGATATCCCACACATATTCTTTAGCTTCCTACGCAGCGCAAGTTTATTTCAGCCGAGCGCCACGCCCCCTCTAACGCCCAGAATCGCCCACTAACGATTTAAAAAGGGTCCTGCGCCCACATCTTTAAAGATTTCCAAAAAGTATAAATGCAATTTTGTTGTGTATACTTATACCTATCGAAATGTAGAAGACATTTTTCACCATTCATTAAAAAGTTATACGCTTCTAAAATTGTCAATATATATCTATCTCCCTCGCACTCCCTTTAGCTGAGTTACGATTATTAGCGAGTACAGCGTTTGCACTCCCTTTAGCTGAGTGACGGGTATTAGATAGTCGGGACACCAACCCGACTATAGCGTTCTCTCTTGTTTACATTTTATTCTATATTTTGAGAAGTGGTGCTATTATTTTTTTCGTAGTTTTTTCCAGTTTTGCATAGTATTTCTAAAATAGTTCAGAAACCTTTTATAAAGCTAACATTTTTTTTTCATATTCAAATTATGTTTAGTCTTACTATTTAAAACCCGTTTTGAAAAGTAAAAAAGTGAGTAGGGTGACTAGGTAAAATTTTGTTGTGTTAGTGGTGCTATTATTTTTTTCGCAGCTGTATATTCTTGATCAGCACCAATAGCCGAGTCCATCTTGCCATGTCCGTCTGTCCGTCTGTTTTTATTATAAAAATTGAAAATTACGACTTATTTTCAATTTTTCCATTTGCCGAGCCAAACTAAGTAGGTGGTATTTTTTCCATGTTTTTTGGACGCGGTTTTGGCCTTCAATTTTTTTTAAATTCATAACACTTATTTGCAGTCCCTTATTTTAGGGTATAACACATACAAATATTTGTACAATACAAATCGGATAATAGGCTTTGAATGCGCAAAAGGTGGCAAAAGGGCATAGGTGGCCCACACAATCAAAGGCAATCCCACCACCGAGAACAAACCACCCATTTGAAAACAGTTAGCAACATCGACGACTGCCAACTCATTCACAAATGTAGTCCCTCTCATTTAGAGGTAGAAAAGGAGGAGCATTGTGAGGCTGGGGCTAACAAAGGGACATGGGAGTTTGCCCTTGCTGCTTTTCGGATATTAAAAACAAGTTTCGCACACTTGAGCGTTTGGAGAGCGGGCCGAAGAGCGCACCAGTGTCATCAGCCTGCAGTAAAAGTTGGCAGCTCATCCCGGTAACAGATGCTTTTGCCGAGGGGCTTAGGTACTTAATTTGAAAGCCTCGATAGTTACTCATTTGAGGACCGCCAAACGGTGACACATAAAAACGCTACTCGAGCTGAGGGATATCGAGAAGTTTCCATTGAGCACAAAGCACGGCGAGTGAGAGAGCAAAAGTCGCAAAAAGCCGGTTTTGCGTAGACAGCTATGCCAAAAACTTCAATAAACTAAGCAGAGCTTATTATAATGCGATAGCGAAAATTCCACAGATGCCAAAAAACATTTGCAATCTCCTAAAATGGGAATTTTTCAATGAACGATTTATTTGGAATGCATGTGTTGGCACAAACAGAAAACATATTCTGCCTTTCAAAGCCGGTTTTCACAAAAAGCTACATAAAGACGTTTTTGATAAGCCCGTGAGATTGCGAATCGGCTTTTAATTCGCACTCCAAAAACAGTCTGGCAAGGCCCAACGCAGCTGATCAATTACGAATGGAAAAGGTGGGTAATTCACAATGATTCTTGCCAATAAAACTTGGAATTGAAATTAAAAGTAGGTAACTTGGGTAATGCAAAAAGTGGAAAAACAACAAAAGACAGAGCAGTAATATAACGAAAGTGATACGCGTGCAAAAGTAACAAGTAATAAAAAGAGTAGGATGATGACGCAGGCAGTGGATCATTTGGTCAACTCAATTTGGCACGAAATTGTGTTCTAATCTAGTGGGAGCAATGACACTGCGAGAAAAAGTCGACAGTCGACAAACAAAGCACAAGGGAGTGGCTGAATCGAGTGGAAACGCGCTCGGGAGAGAGCAAGCAGGATAAGAGCACATGGAGTCGACAGGAAGTTGCACACGCATACAGAAAGGGCAAAACGTGGCTCGCATACGAAAAATGCTCTGAGCATTCATTCGAATTGAAAGGTAAAAACAGACTCAACTCAACTCGCTCTCCACTGATGACGCGGCATCGCCTGCTCAAGATATTTTCTGTATTTCAGTTCTTTTCGCTCCGATAAAGAGCATTTATTTTGGCCGGCAGAGGAAGCGAGCAGCAACAGCAACAAAGCAGGAAGGTCTGAAAAAAAAAACTGTATTGAGAGCGATAAAGGCGAGCGATAGCGAAGGGGTGGGGCTGCAGACTGCATTATCAGAAACCAGTGTTGCACAGCACATTGGAGCCGGCTGCTGATATCAGATTTCTCGTTCTGGGGTGCATTCGTGATTACCGCGAATCGAAGCTGAGGGTGAGTCATCGATAAGCCGCAATACACTAGTCACTAGTAAGATGGGCCAATCTATTCCTGCGACTCCGACTGTGACCATTTGGATGGCATGCTGCATGATCACCCACACTGCCCTGAAGCGGAGGCGGCCGAGGGGTGAGTGGTAGAGCAGGCCTGCGCAGGAGCGGCGCTGCAGGGGGTGAAACTGGCTGGGGTGGGAGTTGCTCTTTATCAAGCGAAAGTAATCATGGCGGCCGAGAGAGGGAGACAGAGCGAGAGTCCCACCCTTGAACTTGCGAAAATTTCATTGTCAACCAACTTTTAGCCGTTGGCCGTTTTCCAGACGCTTTTCGTACTTACCTCAAATCCATTGGACTGCGCCCAAATGTTGCCATCGTGGCCGGCGATGCACGCCTTGGTCACGCACTGCGAGGCCAGGAGTTGGTTGTCCACATAATCTTGCCAGCTCATGGTGCTTTGTTTGACGTGGGTGCGGTGCGGATTAGATTGGATTGATATAGGCTGGATATTAACTGGATCGCTGCTTTACCGAACGGCGAGTCGCACTTCGGGGGTCACACGAAATTGGCAGGGAGACAAAGAAAAACCGCAACGCCGTCGATTTCTTCTTGGGGTAACTTACTGCCAACTGCAACGAGAGGTGGAGAAAGAGAGAGGTAGACAGAAATTAACATTTTCGTATCGCATTTGCCAATCGTCGCCCCGTTTAATTATCAAACCGTGCGCCTTTGATTCGTTAGCTGTATTTCCTCCGCCCCTGACTAACTGCCGGGTCGCAGCAACGACGATACGGATTTGCAAATAATTTTCCAGTATATATGATGCAGTGCACCAAAAGCCGAAGTTTTCAGCCCCGAAAAACTCACATATACACACACTAAGCACAGCCACACGCACGGGGGATGAGACCAAGAGCAAGACCAAGACAGACAGAAACAGAAACCGTACGCCAGCAGCTCCACACACACGTCCGACTCGTTAGGAATTCTCGAAGCGTTCGAGGCGGATTTCAAAAGTCGAATGAGCGCAAAGCGGAATCATAAACCGATTTTGAATCTGAGAAAGTCCCACTCAGACGAGAGAACGCTGCAGGGGGCTGCTCCGCTCCTGCTCCAAAGTGCTCAATTCCAGGCCGTGAGTCACCCGCTCACTCACCCACTTCTGGCGAGAGAGCGACCGCGAGAGCCGAGCGAGTGCAACGGTGCGGCTGGGCTGGAGCGGGTGTGCGAGCGAGACGGCCGGACAAGACGGGCCGTTATTAATCAGCCGGCTGCGGACAATGCAAATGAGCGAGTGAGAGCAGACGATGACTCAACGGAGGTCCTCTCCTCTCCCTCGCCCAACGCCTTTCGTGAGTGTTATGAATCGCCTCTTTCTTGGCCGGCACTGAGTAACTGTCATAAATTAAAAATAGCCTTTAATTTCAACGCCTATATGTACGCGAATCTCACGTATCCATTATGTGCAGCACCCGCAATATGTGTGTTAACATTGGCTGGTTGACAAGGCGAACCGAATACCAAACGGCTGCTGAACTTTTCCCACTTAATTTTTGCACACTTCTATAGACACACACACGTATTCGAGGACGCACAGCCAACGCGGTTGGGCCAAGTTGCGGGTACATGTGTGGGTTTTTGCCACTTAAGGCGTGCTCTCAGTCCGAAAGCAGTTTTTTTTCGAAATTTACCCAGTGTGTTGGTACTTGGCTTTCTGACTCCCCACGTTCAGTAAAAGCAAGAAAAAATTGAATTTAAACCAATTTCTAGGAAAACCACGGCACTCACACTGTTCACACGCTGCGGTAAAAAATCAGAGTGACCGTCCCTGACAATCTAGAATGGAATAAAAATCGATTGGATTCGATACCATCGATGTTTCCAGAAACTTGGTAACATTGCAATCATCGATTATATTTACTGTTTCAACTGACCAAGGCCCGTCTACACTGGCGACGAGTTTTCATGATAAAAGGGGGATTCCCTAAACTGTTGAATTGTTGAAAATTCAACAAAAAATTTCAGCAATTTAGGGAACGACCCAAAATGGTTCCTGTTGAATTTTCAAACAGCTGTTATTTGTTGAAAACTTTCACGGAACTTAAAGCATGTAAAATTTGATTTATTATTGCTAGTTACTGTCTAAAAGTGTTAAGGCATTTTTCCACTATGCGGTTTTTTCGGTATTTTTGTGTATTTTCGATTGGCAACGCGATAGGCGGACGTGAGGTGTTTCCATTGGCAAACGCGTCTGAAAACAGCTGTTGTGCTATTGTCATTTGCGAGCTGAAGTAAACAATGGATTTAAATAATTTGTTATTGATAATTGTAATCGCAGAACAGCATTTGAACGTGGAAACATTGCTGCAATGATGAAAGCAACAACATCCCACGTTACGCTGCTTGAGCATTTATTACGGCAGAAAGCAAAAGGATCTGCTGCAGAAGGCGTTCATATATATAGATCTGAACAGTCATTTAATTAATTCTTTGACACGACCCGCGACAGCAGTAGCTTCTGCGGCGGCACGTCACTGAACAGAATCTGATACGGGGCAGAAACGCCTACAAGGACATTGTGCGCAAGAAAGAGGGAGATGTGCCCTTTTCAGCAGTCGCCTGTCAACGTGTGTCATTTGAATATGGAATGGCCATCTACGGTCTAACCAGGAGGTCGCCTTAATGGACGAATGGCGCACGCAAAGCAAACGTCATGATCATGGAGACGGGGAAGCCCATGTGGCTGCGCTGCAACGACCAATATTTCGCTTCCGATCCTTCCTAGCCGGGCCATTCCATTGGATAAACGAACTGCTACTGCCCTTTATGCGCTTGGATTATCCTCGGAATACTGAATTATTGCCAGATCATTTGGCATATATGATATACAGTGATGAACTTAATTCTTGGCACACTTGGCATCTTGGACTTTAGGTTCAATTTTCTCCGACTAATATATGAATAAAAAAATTAAACAAAATTTGTTTATATAAAGGCCACATTTTACTGTTTAAATAATTTGGTTTCATATTTATATCTCTTAAGACTAATTTTTTAAAACTCAAAAACGAAAAAATTAGCCTATTCTGCCCGAACAAAATTCTTGGCACACTTGTGTTGTATTTAACTATTTCGCTAATACTTAACCGATTTGACTCAATTTTTTTGCTAAATCCGCTTTGTCTCAGTTGTCTAGAGGGCATACTGCTAAATTTGAATCCTTAAACCGTTAAAATAACTTAATTTTAACTAAAAACGGTTATATAAAAGTATGTTAAATGCCAATACCCATATCTGTGCGAAAAATAATATTTTAAGGGCAGGATCAGGGTCAATCATATGCTAATATTAGGAAATATGTGCCCAGAAGTTGTTTTTACCATTCGGATCCTTTTACGGCGTTTTAGAGGACTCTCACTATGCCAAAATGCGAGGCACACAGCCCGACCCATGGGTTTAAGAGGCCAGGGAAGCGAAAGGATTAAGAAAAAGGATAATGTCAACCCTTAGATTTTATAAGCACAGATCGAAGTTCAGGATAGGAAGGACTTTTACAAGGATATTCAACCAACGGACTTTTTAAGGGCCCTGCAATGTGCTGACTACATTTTTTGCAGCTAGAAAAAATTCATTTATTATCAAGGTCAACTTTCCGGGTCCTTAATTCTATGAAAAGGATTGGTATTGCACCTGATAAAGTAAAAAGGTTTAAAGAGTCGATTGGGATTCTAAAGTATCCCTTTTTGTATCCTAAATGTTTATATTGGTGGCCTTTGAAATCACTTCATATTTTCTAGCTGCAAAAAAATGTAGTCAGCACATTGCAGGGCCCTTAAAAAGTCCGTTGGTTGAATATCCTTGTAAAAGTCCTTCCTATCCTGAACTTCGATCTGTGCTTATAAAATCTAAGGGTTGACATTATCCTTTTTCTTAATCCTTTCGCTTCCCTGGCCTCTTAAACCCATGGGTCGGGCTGTGTGCCTCGCATTTTGGCATAGTGAGAGTCCTCTAAAACGCCGTAAAAGGATCCGAATGGTAAAAACAACTTCTGGGCACATATTTCCTAATATTAGCATATGATTGACCCTGATCCTGCCCTTAAAATATTATTTTTCGCACAGATATGGGTATTGGCATTTAACATACTTTTATATAACCGTTTTTAGTTAAAATTAAGTTATTTTAACGGTTTAAGGATTCAAATTTAACATTATGCCATCTAGACAACTAAGACAAAGCGGACTTAGCAAAAAAAATGAGTCAAATCGGTTAAGTATTAGCGAAATAGTTAAATACAACACAAGTGTGCCAAGAATTTTGTTCGGGCAGAATAGGCTAATTTTTTCGTTTTTGAGTTTTAAAAAATTAGTCTTAAGAGATATAAATATGAAACCAAATTATTTAAACAGTAAAATGTGGCCTTTATATAAACAAATTTTGTTTAATTTTTTTATTCATATATTAGTCGGAGAAAATTAAACCTAAAGTCCAAAATGCCAAGTGTGCCAAGAATTAAGTTCATCACTGTATCAAATACCAATCTATAGGAAATAAAGTTCATGTAAATATCAACAATAAATGGTTTTAATATTTCCCGCTTCTTATCAGCCTTTTATCAGTTTCGGGTCCAGAAAAATGTTTATGCCTGGTTAATACTGCTTAAAAGTACCACAAATTTCACTTTCCAGCCCTGTAACGCGAGAATTTTCCACCCTCCCCTCCTCACCCACGCCTACAAGTTTTGTATGGGATTTGGGCGCGTTAAACGGTAAATGGATGCAAACGCGACGCGTCCATAATGAGCAGAGGGCATTACCAAGGTAAAAAGCACCGCAAATATGCTTTCTAAAGGGGGATTCCCTAAACTGTTGAATTGCTGAATTGTTGAAAATTCAACAAAAAATTTCAGCATTTAAGGGAACGACCCAAAATGGTTCCTGTTGAATTTTCAAACAGCTGTTATTTGTTGAAAACTTTCACGGAACTTAAAGCATGTAAAATTTGATTTATTATTGCTAGTTACTGTCTAAAAGTGTTACCAAGGTAAAAAGAACCACAAATATGCTTTCTAAGTTGATTTTAAAACAAATAATGCGTACTGGTGATACTAAAATGTTACAGAGTTGCCACGACTTTTAAAACAAGGTGACAACTCTGGCTTTTCAGCAATTCAACAAAATTTTCAACAGCCCCGAGGCTGTTGAATTGCTTAAATTTCTGAAAGTTGACTTTGTATGGAACAGCTGATTAACAGCTGACCAAAATTCAACAATTCAGCAATTCAACAGTTTAGGGAATCCCCCTTAAGTTGATTTTAAAATAAATAATGCGTACTGTATGTTACCAAGGTAAAAAGAACCACAAATATGCTTTCTAAGTTGATTTTAAAACAAATAATGCGTACTGGTGATACTAAAATGTTACAGAGTTGCCACGACTTTTAAAAAAAGGTGACAACTCTGGCTTTTCAGCAATTCAACAAAATTTTCAACAGCCCCGAGGCTGTTGAATTGCTGAACTTTCTGAAAGTTGACTTTGTATGGAACAGCTGATTAACAGCTGACCAAAATTCAACAATTCAGCAATTCAATAGTTTAAGGAATCCCCCTAAAAATATGTACAAAGTAGAGTTTAAAAACGTTCTGTCTCCATTTCCAAAAAAAGACAAAACGTGAAATACTTATTTAACCGATCAGTAAATAACAGTTATTTGTAATTTTTATTTTAAAATGCCTTCTTGTCCAGTAGATATAAAAGAATCAGCAAAATTCAATAACAAATTAAACTTTTTTACTCTTGACAACAAAATGTTTAAAATTTAGCCAAATTGTTTGAAAACTTTATTAAAAATGGGAAAGGGTTTTTTCAATAAAATTCTATATACTTGTAATTTACGGTCTCTGCTTTATTATTCTGGGTATTCCCTTAACTGTTAAATTGCTGAATTGTTAAAACTTCAACAGTTTCTTGAGCAATTGAGTGAACGACCCGACGAATGGTTCCAAC